CTGGCAACTGACTAGTTTACAGCGATAACCATGTATTTTAGACAGCAAAAGTAATGCGGAAGAAACTTCCTTCCAAACGTCGTCGTGAAAGCAGTTACGGAAACTTTATTTATCAGGAAACTCAGTTGCTCTGTTGGACCATTATTGTCTTATAAACATCATCATCTCCAGGTTGTAACAGTTTCAGTTATTAGTCTTCAAGTTGAGATAACCTCAATGAAATCACTGTGAAATCATCAGGGTTATTTGACAAGTCCAGAGACATCGAGGACAACAACTGTTTCCACAGGCGGAGTGTGACTCACACAGATGAGTAAAGGACGACACGCCTGGATACAGAAATAAATAAATAAGCAGTATCCAGAATATGAGTTATATTTCTGTTGATTAAGCAGTGTAATGTGAAGCTATCTATGTTAGCCATGGCATTATAAGAATGTCTAGCTTTGTAACTAAACACCAAAATAGTACATTTGAAATGTAAGTTACATTTTAGGACAGTTCTGTAAACATTTATTCCTAATTAGTCCAATGAGTCCCTTCATTGCTATATATGAAAGCTAAACTGCTACTTCATCCAAATATAAACTCAGAATCATTTAACCTGGCAGCTGTTCGATTCTTTCTAATAGCAAGCACAGAAAAAGGTACTCTGGTTAAGTAGAAAGATCAGCACACATTGACACACCTCAGCCGACCTCTGGTTCTAACTGAGGGGCCGGTCTCACTAAAGTTAATGACAGCCAAATGTACTACATGTATATCAACTGAAGGGAGTCATCATGAGCAGTGGATACAGTTGTTGTCTTTTTCACAGTTTTGACATCACGTTGGTGAATTCTGTTCAGTAAACCAGCTCAGGATGATTCAGTCCCTTTCCTTAGCTTAGCATATGCTAATGGCTGGTTTTCCATTTGGCAAGAGAGGTATATCTGAGCAGACAATGAGCCGCTAACTGCTATCAGTATGACACACTGTAAACTTGGAATGTCAAAGAGCTTCATGCTAGCGGGCTCTCTGTCTATGAATGACATTTCAAGCTGCATATTATGCTCATCACAGACTCCTGAAGCTAAAACCAGTTTAGCAATGTAAAGAAGGTGATATCAATGCAGCGGATGACAATGCCAGGCCAACATCCTAACGCCTGGTAACTTTCTGCCAGATTTCCAAACGAGTAGATTAAAAACGGTCTCTCTGTGGATCTAGGTGGATTAAAAACTCTGAATAAAGACTATATTCAACTTTATTCAGGGGCCTTTCAATGTACTCCGGGAAGCTCTTGTTTTGCAACCACCGGATTACTATCAAGGCTTTATTTCAAATCCCTTTGTGACCACAAAGTGCAGCATTGATATTCTTCTATCTTTAAACAGCAAGGAAGATCTGTTTGACTACCAGAGTCTTCCACATTACATGGCTTTCTAAACATCGATGTTTGATGAGGAAATAAATGCACTTGACATCTTGAAAATAGAAAGATGTGTAATTGCACAACTAGCCACTTAAGAGCTGCCACAAGATGATTCTACACCGCACGTTCTGTTCAGTCTCATTCCAACTTCATAATAACAGGGTTATAACGTAAATCTTTAGGCCATCCATTATATCTCCTTTAAATATTGCTTAAGTGTAAATGAACCCTGTGAAATACAAATCCTCTTAAAATCCAAGGAGAACTGACAAACCAAATAAGGAGAGTGTGTGACCTATGCACAGGTGGTGATCATCTAAACACCCAAACCCTTTCATTTCTCAGAATTATTAGGCATGTTTCCATGAAGTGTGTTTGAAAGTATCAGCACTTCTTAATTCACTTGATGGCTTTCTAAGTTACACAGGCTGGGGTAAAAGAAAATTGTGTTTATTTACAACTTAGTTTTTTGTCGTTTTGGTCATTAATAGCTGAAATGCTAAATTACAGGGGACGCAACCAGAAAAGCAATCGGACAGTTTTTAAAGAAGTCCTTGAATAAATGTTTGCTTAAAATCGGCCTGGTGGTAGTGCAGTCCCTGTGACACAACCTGTGAGTATAAAACCATCACAAACAGAATCATGTCAACAACTATGAAAATACATCTAAGTTTGGTAAAACAACAGAATTTTCCTTTGAGATATTGTCCCCTTTTCTTTTTAGAGAGTTCACCATAGAAGAAGAAAATACAAGTTCATTATTACATATATCTCAATAAAGAACTGATGTGGTGTGGAGAGGAAGATGAAGATCAACAGTGATCATGGCGCTCTCTCCCCCAGAGAGATGTATATGACAGCAGAGGATCATCTGTGGGTGCTGATGGGCCGAGTGTGTGAGTGTAAACCAGTGTGTTTCCCTATGACACCACTTTATGATTGTCTGTTTACTACTGGCTGTGTGTGTGTGTGTTTTGTGTGTGTAAGACTGTCCATCACCACTGCACATATTGCACCTTCTTGTCATTTTACAAGACCCACAGACTAAACCTTCAACATTTACCGACAGATAACCATGTCCTGTGTCATGCGACCAAACCTGTGAGGTTAGAACACTCGCAGCATCACACCAACATGCAAAGTGAAGTGGTGGTGTCTCATACTTTATCTGATCCTGTTGGCGACATATGGCTGGAGCCCCTCATTAGAGTTACGTTGAAGGTTATTCATTTGAGGCTGAAGGCTATGCATAGAGCAGTGCAGTGATGATGTACTTCTGTAGTTAGCATTGCCTCGACAAAAAGCAAAGGGCTTTTTCTATTGGATTTTTAAATATTGCAGCAAATAATCTCTAAGGAAAACACATGTTTACGATACTTAAACATTTTGTTCAGCAGGATAATCTCCACATGTTAACAACTTTATGATTTTGGAGTGTAAATGCAATCTCCAGAAGTAAAAAGCTAACGTTATTCTATAAACAAACTACATTACTTTATATCACCACCGCGTAACGGCTAATGTTTAGCGTAATGACTTTTAGTAGTCTCATTTAGTCTCTTAGCAACCGCTGTTTTTAAGACACATGGAAGCTTCAGACGTTCATCAGTGGGGTATTTACTGATATATCTTTTGTCTAAGAACAAAAAGTGATTTCTTTTTAAAACTTATGTTTACCACAGACCTTATTCGCGACTTTAACCAAAAACACGTTTTTAAAAAATGTTGCTAAAAATTCAAAATTATTTCTGGGTTTAGGACTCAATTCTGCACCATTCTATATTGGCCCATTTTCGTACATTTATATATAATTCGTTATTGTATATGTTTTATATTTACTATTTATAGCAGAGCAAAGGAAATACAGAGAATGTCTGTAACATAGCTGTAGTTGAGGCCTTTTACAAAAGGACATTTGGCGTCTTTGATGTTATATCCTTAAAGACAGTGTTGAAGCGTCAGGTATGCTCCCTGTGTAGATGATGGTTGAACACGGTAACTCTTACAGGTCATGGCCGACACACTGAGGGGTTCAGTATCTGGGTCCTGTGGGTCTTGGAAAGTCAACTGCAAATCTGTTGGTAAGGGTGTAACACAAAGCCAATGTCTGTACAGAGGAGGATAACCAAGGTATTATGCTTTTGGAATTTAATCTTCAAAACACGACCGTTCAGTGAGGGGTATGGGCGGGATTCAAGAATTGTTTGTACTGCATGATTTTCTTGAGGGTGTGTTTATAAAAGGAGGATGATATTAAAGTAGGTTTTATGGGTCTATCTTGGGAAATGAGAAAGCTCCTAACAGGCCCATCTCGTGCTGCCTTACTGGCTGTTTGAAGGGGGTTGTGCGTGCATTGGAAGAGCTCTTTGTAATGAGAAAGCTATTGAGAAAGATTGTAAAAGCTCCCTGTCTCATTAGCATGAGCATAAGACTTTCTTTTTATTAGTCAATCTCAGGTTGGCACTGCACATTTAAAGTGGTTCAAAAGGTACGAATGTTAAGAAAATACTGAATTGTATGATTCTGAAGAGCTGTTTTAATACCATAGATAGGGACAAAACTGTAAATAGCCAATTCCCCTCACTGTATGGATTGTTGTACGATGCTTTAAGACATTTTTAAATTGGTTACACCCTTACACGTTAGCGTGGACAAGCCTACATGTGTGTGTTGTGTATGTTGAGTGTGTGTGAGTCCCTGCTGTGCCCTCATAGCCTGGTCTGAGCCTCGGGGATGTAGATCTCGATGCTGTCGGCGCTCTCCGTGGCCGAGTTCTGCCTCACGGACGCAGCTCTCTTGGCGGCCATCAGGCGCTTCCTGGCCTCCTGCCGCTGTTTCTCTGAGCTCTCCAGGGAGCGGTCTCTGGCCAGGGGGGGGTGGTGGTGGGGGCCCTTGGGAGGCTTTTTTGGCACTGGAGGTGGGAGCCGCCTCTCCTATGTGGGGAAGAGGACGGGGGGGGGGGGGGAGAACATTTCAGGAAAAAGACAGACGTGTTTGTGTGCCTGTGATTCTAATGGCTCCTGGTTTCGTGTATGCCCGTTCACTTTGTGTTTGTAATACTGGGCGTTCATTGCATCAAACAGTGTTTCAATAGAAGTGCAGCTCCTTTAGATGCTCTTATTGTGGAATCTTAACTTATTTTCTACACGTGTTTATTCACACATTTGTTCCATATCCTTTGAAATAAACGTTTCTTTGCTGCACAACAATCCATCTGCATTGGGCAGCTAAAATCGTACCTACTGTTCAACGTGTGTTTGTGTGTGACCTTATGGTTTCAGGTTTTTGTATGCATGCCGATGCAGGTATTTAACAAATATAATAGGCAAATATAATGAATTAATAGCAAGAGCATCCTGTGGCAAGGTCTGTTCCTGCACTTATTTCATTTTGTTGATAACTGTACAAACTGTAAACATGGCATTGCCACATAATGTCCTATGTCTCTGATTACATAAAACAATTCTGATATATTTGGTCTTCTTTTTATCATTCCTCATTTATATCCGTTAACACCACATCTTACTCAACTAATAAATAACTGAGATGGAAAAAGCCACGACTACAATGAACTCCAAAAAGAATGATGGGAAGATTTAAAGCAGGAAGTTGGTCTGTGAACCCAAATGTTTGTTGAGGCTCCCAACCTGATCGTCTGCTCGCCCATGATTCTCGACCTGTGACTTATTTGAACAATTATTGCCATCTCTAAGCAATTGACTTGTTGTCCTCACTGATAGACTCAACCGGTCAGAACGATAAATATAAGATCCAAGTCATAATAAACCAGATATTTAACCATGTGAGCGCTATTTATTTACAGGACCTTAAAAGCCAGCTGTCAAAATATTTTTGATTGAAATGACAAGTCGGATGAAGTTGTTGTTAGTCTGACATTACTCAGTATTGTCCAACAATGAAACCAATAATCAGAGATGCTGTTGTGTGATTGTCTTTTAAATCACACATGTTTTAAAGTCCTTCTCTTTAGCTGAAAGACTGAATATGATGTTCTGATTTTAGCAACCCAACCATACACCCACTACAATTCTGTATTCACCCTTTATGTTATGATCTTATTCATTCCTGATTTTGAAATACAATTCTACATTGAGCTGAGCCTTTTTCTACTAGATCCTGAGTGGACTTAATGAAGACTAAGGCTGCATTTGCATAGTCAAGTAAGACGCACATTATGCAAAGACAAAGGGATCCCAACCATGAAAATAATTGGTTGAATAACTTTGTATCCTTCTCGGGGGGATCTTATATTCGCTGCTTTTGGTGTATTTTGTGGCCGAAGTACAGCGCTACTTACAGGCCGGGCATATGTACTACAGCGTTTTGAGCGGTCTCGTGTGAACGGACACGTTTCTGGTGCCTGTTGCAAATGTTATTTGAATATTGCATTTGTTTCTGGATAGCACAATATTCTTTTACTAGTATATTTACTTGGTTTTATCCGCCTGTTGCGATTTTAGGGTTTGTGTTTATGCACTTGGTCTTCGTGGTATAGGACTTGAACCACACTCTCTCCTGTCCATGTGTCCTTCCACTTGCAGCTAAACACACACAACAGAAAGCCACAGATGGGGAGGCGGCGGCAGGCGGCAGAGGGGAGGAGGGGGCAGAGGAAGCATGGACAGATGGATGGAAAGACAGACAGTTATGGAGCTACGGAGGCCCAGAGGTGTCAAGGCCCCGTGGTGCTGTTGGCATTGCAGTTATGCGGATTTATGCAAGCGCCTTCACTGTCAACACAAAAAAGCACAAGAAAGAAAAAGAGACAACAATGAGAGCAAATGAGGAAGCCGGCAGAGTCAGTATTCAATGAAGCAAAGCCACAACAGATACTGCAGGCCAGGCGCCAGATAGCTGAAAGAGATTCACACTCAAACATGAGTAGGAGGAAGAGTATCTGTAGCACCACAGAGAACAAGTCAGACAACCATGCAATAACTGTAGCATGAGGGACGGCTGAGTGAAATACATAAAGGAGATGTTCTTTGCTTAACGTCATAGGTTGATAATTCAGCAAGTGAAAAGCTATTGTAAATCCACCACCAAACTCACACTTAAAGCTTGCTTGAGGAATATTTCCAAAGAATGTATTATTCAGAATGGCTGCTAAGGTTATTCTAACAGTGGACATTATTACCTGCTTTTCATCCAGCATAGAGGCTTCCATCCAGGAACAAGGTGTGTGACTGACCTCTGATTATTAGGCTTCACAATCATACCCTATAACAGCCCTACAGCCATTTACCTGTAGATGCATTTCAGATTGTGCAACACATTTCTGGCCATCAATTATCAACAATGGAAAGAAAATAAATGCTGTCGTCTCGCATATTGGCAGTTTCTTCAAAATACAACAAAAAGCATGGCCATAGAGCAAGCAATGCATTAGTAGTTACAAACCAGTGTGTTATGGGCATGAACTGTACTGTCTGACATTGGATGATCTTAATGTAGCATGAGTTAGTGTTCTGTTTGGGTGGTGATGGTTGTAGAGCAGTGGGCTGTTTTGGTCTCAAACACTCTAAATCAGAAGCAGATGAATGACAGAACTTTGATGACCAAAGGTTTCACCATGGAAACTACTGAAAAATAATAAGTCACTCTTAGTCAATCTGAAACTGATTGCCCAAGATATGAAGGCAGTATGTTCTGATCATTATAGAGTCATTTTTCTTCTTTCATTTTAGATCCATGTCAGGATCCGAGGATTTCTGTTCAGCGTGATAGATTGCTAACACACTTTGTGTTTTATTGGCTAAATGGACTCCAAAGCATTGGGTTTATGTGAAATTACATTTGGTGAAAATCTCTGATACACCGATGGAAAAGCAGAACAGTAAATGACCTGAGGGTACTACAAAACAAAGTAATTTGTTGCATCTATGACTTGCATCTATAACAAAGAATATGAAACCTTCTCTTTAGATGGGGGTGTTATCGCTGATCAACCGACAGCAGACTGATAATGTGTACCTTTCTGTCGGGGGGGTCCAGGGGTCTCCAGCTGTTGGCTCTTAGCTGGTGCAGCTCGTCAAACTTGAGGCTGATGTTCTCGATGGACAGCTGCAACATGTCCCAGAACCCTGCCAGGTCTGAGGCCACCGGGCGGGGGTGTGCGTTCGGGTTCTGGGACAGTGGGAACAGAGGATGGGGGGGGAAAATAAGTTTCAGATATTACAGACAGGGAAGATAAACCTTATTAAATACAGTAATACAAATGTATATTTTTACAACACATTTTGTTGTTGTACCACAATGTCTTGAGGTAGAACACAGGGGCGTCCAATAAGACCCCTATGGTTCTTTCGTAAACTCCAATATGTATCTGAAACATGCTGGTTGGACACCCATTGCATACTGTCTTTTCCTTTATTATTTTAGTACATCAATACGATTTGATATTTTTTTAACTTGTAATATTGATGGACTGACACAGTGATTATTCTATTCTAGTAAGTGAAGACATGTTTCACTGCTATCAAAAATGACAGTAAAGGGTATCTAAAAGTTATCATATGCTAAACTAAACTAAATCAAGAAAGATATACATCAAAATGTTATCATTTGATATGATAAATGATTAGAACATTCATATGGAATTAAATATCATTATTTTAAAAAGTGAAAAAGATATGGTTTAAGATTTACACTCACTCTTTGACAGAAATATTGTTAAATGTTGATGTAAAGTTGGCCACAGGGAAATTCAAGCGATCAATACATAGGATTTTTCCTATGTGGACAATAAATATCCGTCCCAACGTTCAGCACAATGTACTCAGTGAGTTGCTGAGATGTCTGAGTCTGACTGACCAACATCTCAAGATAGAAATATTACAAAATATTTAATTTCAGAATGTCACAGACATAAGGTCAGTGAGAAGTAAAAATGTTTGAGCGCTCAGTCTCACCAGGTTCTCCTCACACAGCTCCCTGAACTGCTGGAACTTCTGAGACATCAGCAGCTGAGCACTTCCCATCGCACTCCTCATTTTCCCCAGGACTGAGAGACAGAGACAGTTCAGAGACACACACACTCTGCTCCTCAGAGACTGTTAACAACACTTCTCATGCCTCTCAGCTCTTCCATGTGCCCATGTCCAGTGCATTCACCCAAAAAACGGAAAAGTTGACTTGAATTAAGTGTGTTATGGCAACAGATTACACATGATTGCATTCACAGTATTTACAGTACTGAATGCATGTAAGTCACTTTGGACAAAAGCGTCTAAAAGTAACATGTAATGTAAAGTGTCTTTGAGCACCTGGAAAAGCGCTATATAAATACAATGTTATATTATTAGGTAAGTATGATACGTAATATGATTGCTTTCAACTAACCTAATACAGTTATGTGAATCATTTCAGTTTATCTGAGTTCTTGTGAAATCATGTAATGCAATTCATCTGGAAACCTGAACGCGTGAAAAATAATATGAATGCTAATGAATCACATCAAGTTTGACGCAAAGTTGCTCCCGTAATTCCAGCTCGGATTTTTACCATGAATAAGCATGGCAGAGAAAAGGCAAAGAAATCAGAGAAAACAACACAAGCACAGAACATTGAAGTACCTGTACTTTACTTGAGTATATTCACAATATGCAACTTCATATTTCTATTCCCCTACATTTATTTGACATATTAAGTGAATATCTACTTCACAGAATAAGGCTATTGAAACAAAATATAAATTAAAGAACTCATGATCATATACTATTATAGGTCAAGCAACCCATTATTATACGTATAGGTAATTCAAATAAAGCCCACTTTTACCAAGTGCAACATTGAAGTGACGAATAGCATCAATAATTATAAAGCAATTATTCGAATGTATGGTGCTTTAATGGACCATTCTGCATAATGAATACTTTTTCTTTTGGTAATTAAAGTATATCTTCATGCTAGTACTTTGTTACTTTTACTAAAGTATCATTTTGTATTTGAATTCTGAAGGACTTTTACTTGTAACTGAGTATTTTTACACTGTAGTATTGCTACTTTTACTTAAGTAAACAATCTTCTTCCACCCCAGGCTACATGCATGGAAGCCTCTACATGACAACAGAGACGTACTGTCCTCCGGCAGGTCGTTGTCCCTCTGGTCCAGCTCCATCTGCCGACACCACCCGTCCATGCGGTCGGTCTCCGCCTGCAGCAGCTTCAGGAACCAGTGTCCGTCTCTGTGGCACACGGAGCGCTGCAACACCTGCCAGGCAAACATCCAGCTTCACAACATGTGGACACACCTGCAGCCACTTTACATTCACTGCCATGTGACAGAGGCATACGGTATCCAGCATGTACGGTATCATAAATGATGTTTCCATTGCTTGCTAACTATTGATGTGAAATATCAAACAGTGTCTAATGCCGGATAACTAAAAGACCAACTAAATTACTCTACATAAAAATTAATCTCTAGAATACAATAGCATTTCTTTCCAGTCTTTTTTATTACATGATATACTTCACATTGACATTCTTTATGGTTAAAGAAACCTGAATTTGACCTCTGTATGATGCCTGGTTTTCATATTCATATTAGTGTTACTTTATTTTAAATGTTTAATATAGTATATGTTGTTTGAAAAGTTTGCCATTTTTATTGAATTCAAGCAATTGTTTGCATATTGAACTTGTGTTTTATATAAAATGGTGATTTTTAACATTATTAAAGGTGGGGTAGGTAAGTTTCAGAAACCGGCTCGAGTGCACTAAAATTTGAAAGTACACAGCCAAAAAGAATCCGCCCCTTCCTTTAGACTTCCTTACAGAGCACTTCCTCCGCGAGAGCAGGCTGCAGTAACGTTACATATCAGGNACGAGGGAGCCAGAGGGACATCCTAATAGTTTCATAAGGGGCTTCATCTCAAAACAGTGTATTATTATGAACTCCTAATGTGGCTATGACTACATTGGTGAGAGCTATGGCTCATGGATGTCTATAAATCAAAGGATCGGAGGTTCAGTCCCCTGCAGTCAAGATATATAAGCCACATTGGGTCCTGCATGTCTACCGTATTGAAGTGTAGGTAGGTTGCTTTGGATACAAGTGTCAGCTAAATTACATTTAACGTAAGTAATACTAACAGTATTGGCATCACAGTATACTTGAAGAACAAAATAAAAAGTTCTGTACTTAGGGGAGAGTTGGGTAATATGAGCCAATGTTTTACTTATATTGTCCTCTAGGCAAGGAATAATTTGATTAAAGTAAAATGAAAACAACTGCCTACTCAACTCCCTCAGCATTTACATCCTCAGCTTCCTCGGCCTCAACTTCCTCAAAATGTATAGATAAAAACTTCAAATTACACTCTAATAATATAAGTATATTGATTTACAGCCCAGAAAGTTACTGCACATGAAGTACTTTCAAAAACAACAGTAGCAGTAACTGTATGAATTGTAGTTCAAATATAGCCAGTGATGCATGACGTCCACTTTAGTGGACTGATGATTAATCATAATTTCCTCCCAACATAAAATCACTTCTTTGACATGTTATGCATTATATGATTCCTTAGTTGTTACTTGATGTCACAAACATTTGTATACCTCCAAGGGTAGCTTTCCATTGAAGGATTTGCAAGATATTGATGAGTGACTGGGTCAGTCATCAATAGGGTCTGGCTGTCTGTCGACTATCTTGGTTTTGATAAATGGATCCTGCACTTACAACGACTTGCCACTGAGGGGCAGTGTATGGGATGATGCCATAGCGTCCACTGTAGTGGCTGATGCAACTATGCCATCAAAACCCATGCATATACAAGAAAACATCTTTTGAATATCTGTCCACTGTAGTGACCTCTATCCTTAAAGGGCTAGAATAAGCCAGTAACTGCATGGAAAGTTTGCAAAACAACGGTCATTTCATCATTTCAACTTGGGGATTCCCAGCATCCAGCATACTAATGAAGTAAAGAGGAAGGAAGCCAGGCTTTCTTCTATCATCTGTCTAGTAATGTCACCAGATAACAGAAGTTTTGTTTCAACACCACATCCTTCTCTGTTCTGAGCAGAGCAGATTTCCATAACAGATAACACACAGTGCCTTCTGACATGTTTACACACAAAGAGAGGAGTTGAGCAGCGATGAGTCTAACAGCAGCAGTGCGTGGGTTTATTCTCCTTCTTATCTCTCTACAAGGTACAGTACATCTTCATTTGTATTTTTAAAGATCTATTCTACAGGACTTGTTGTTGCTTTTTCATATGGTACACTTACCTTAATTAAAGGACCGTGAGGTTAGTTAGATTTAAGCTGAGAAAGGTTGAGTGATTACCCGTAATGAGTCACTGGAGCCCCTATAGATTTGATCATCCATTTGATCTTAACCTTTAAAATCAAGCAACACAATCGTTGAAATTGGAAATTAAAAATGAACTTATTTGAATTTTATGTATCTTAGTGGAGGAAGTGACCAGTCTTGGTCGTTTAGAAACAAATTACAATTCCATTAATATAAAGCAACATGTCTAAGAGATTTAAGTGTTTCTTTAGCTTAGATCTAGTTTGGATCTGCCACGCTCACACGGAGAAGGAACAACATGTGTTCATAGACAAAAGGCTCAAAACATAAGGCTTCAAAAACGTAAAATGCTGATTTAAAAAAGAAGTGCTTGAAAGGCAGACAATCCAGACAGTGCCATTGACCTCATTGAGCCATTTATGCTCCCCTAATAAGACTTTATATTAAAAAGATTACGGGCAGTAAAAGTTTCACATCTCTTTTTGTTGCATGTCTCTTTTCTTTCGCTGCCATGACACGCCACGCCCCACTAACAACTCATTCTCTGCTTCTTCTTTTCTGAAAAGCACTTTCCTGTTACCTCACTCATCCTTCAAACACTATGATGCCCTGTTTCATTGTTACTCAGATAAATAACTGAAGAAATGCACGATGCTTAAAGGAATACTTTAAATGGAAATGAGCATTTGTATATCAATATAAAGTCAGGTCAAATGGAAGTGAATGGGGGGCTGCGTTTAACAAAAGACAAAACTGAATAAAAACATTGATTTATAAGCTTCAGACAACTCGTGCATTATAATCAAAGTTTATTCATTTGGGTGCTCACTACTTCCAAAAAGCTTGCATACTTGACTCTTAATCACACTTCTGCAAAAACATTCACGCTTGAGCCGATGTGCAACAGTCCATAGTAAGAAAAGAGTGTTTTAGAGAGCAGTGAGCATAGAACCTTTTTTAGAGTAAGTGTATCAAAGGGCTGTGACGATGTGAACAATATTCTGTTTTCTTTTATTAAGCTCAAATACCTGCACATATTACAGTCAAATGATATTGTTATGAGTCTGATTGTGGTTTCTGATGTGCTCTGTGTTTCAGTGGTTCAGAGTCAGAATGTCTGGGGAGTGACTTTCACTTCTAGGGAGATCTGTGCAGTGAAAGGATCAACAGTGGAGATAAGCTGCAGTTACAGATACCCATCCAGATGGAAAAATAAGGAAAACAGAGTAGAGAAAACATTCTGGTTTGTTGAAAAGAAAGATGGTGAACCTGTAGATCTGACCACAGACTCAGAGTATGCAGGTCGTGTAGAGGATCTCTGTGAAAACAACATCTGCACTCTGAGAATCAGAAACCTGAGAGAGAGAGACTCAGCTGAGTACAAGTTCAGGATCGAAACAAACCAAGACGTTTATGCTAGTGAACCAGTCACTCTGTCTGTCACAGGTAACACTTTGTTTGTAAGTTAGCTCAACATTTGGTCAACACTGCAGTGAATGTCAGTGCATCTACTACACGTACAATGACAGTTCAGTTTAACATGTTTGTTTCCTCACAAATCCAGGTCTCCAGGTGAAGGTGACCAAAACAAGTTCCTGCTCAGGAAGCTGTATATGGGCAGACCTGGAGTGTCTCAGCAGTTGTCCTCCAACTTCTCGTCCTTCCTACATCTGGTACAAGAATGGACTGAAATCGACAGAAACAAGAGAATCTTTTAATTACTATTTCTATCCTAAAGAAAGCTTTGCCTGTGCTGTTAAAGGATATGAGAATTCCCCCTCTCCTTCAGTGTGTGAGTTCACTTACAGTCTTCCACCAACATGATGCCATACCTTATTACATAAAAGGGAGACACTGTCCACAGCAATACATTCAGCCCCGAGTTAAGGCAATTACATTTTCATAATAATTAACCAAAGATATTTCATTTTTTAGGTGTTAATGGTCAAGCCTGCAATACAGTGGCTTACAGTGAAAGAAGCATCTGTGCCTTCAAAGGATCCTCAGTGGACATTTCCTGCACGTACAGCAGCTTTGAAGACAATGTTAAATCTAAGTTCTGGTTCAGTCCTGAGCGTAGTTATCAGGACCTTAGTACAGACTACCAGTATTCAGGTCGTGTTGTGGTTCTTTCACCACGGAGAGGATCCACTCTGAGGATCTCTGACCTGAGAGACTCAGATTCAGCTCAGTATCGCTTCAAATTCAAAACACCAAGCTTTGAATGGTGGAGTGATTTACCTGGAACCAATCTGACTGTCACAGGTACTGACCAACACACACTGATAATGTTGTTAATATAGCAGAATTACATTTGTTGTTAAAATATATGTATTTGTCAGGGAAAGATATTCCTAAGAGTTCTTCTGTGTTTTAGACCATGTTTAGATAATGTGTCTTTAGGAAAGCGTTAATATGATTTATTCAATGATCTAAAAAAAAGAATCCCTGTCTCTTCTTCACAGATCGAGAATTAGAGGTGCAGGTGATCGGGTCTTCCTCTGGTCCAAAGCTGGTTTGTCTCAGCAGCTGTCTTCTTACTGGTCATCCTACATTCGTTTGGTACAAGAATGAAACAGAGATTCGGGGAGAAACGTCTGCTTCTTACGGCAAATACGTTGATTCTGCAAACAATTATTCCTGTGCCTATGACGGTCACCGCTCTCGCTCAGTGTGTGAGTTTTACTCCACGTTATCACAAACTAAATCTCATCTGGTGAAGTACAAATACCCTAAAGTCCGCTCAATATTTAGGGATAATGTCCTTATTGTCTCTCACAGCTATAGAACTGCAGCACAGTAAACTAAAAGCAACATTTAAAGGCACTCTATGGAGATTTTGACCACTTGGCGCAATGGAGCATTGTTTTTTTTACGAGTGATTTTGTAAACATGCATTCAGGCTTCTCAATTAACACACTGCTGTTGAATTCATTCTGATACCACTGATCAACGCTTGGCTGTGGTAATGCTGAAAAAAGCTTAAATATGTGACAGCAAAGAGAATGAAACACGTGGATTTAGTTTGTACTATTGGTGTTTGTAAGTGTATGACTAACACTCACTATTGTTCATTTGATCTCCTCCAGATGCTCCAAAGCTTCCCTTGGTGTTGATGAGTCCCTCTGGTGATATTATGGAGGGCAGTTCAGTGACTCTGAACTGTAGCAGTGATGCTAACCCAGCAGCTAACTACACCTGGTATAAGAGGAACCAAAAACTGCTCATTGAGACCTCACAGCTTGTCTTTAGCTCCATCAATTCCACTGGATCTGGACAGTATTTCTGTACAGCTGAGAACAAGCTGGGGAGGACATCTAAAAGCTTCTTTATTGATGTGAAATGTGAGTTAAAAAACGTATTTTAAAAGGCTTTACTCTGTCAAATGTGTTGCATCTAGATCACAAAGGACAGGTTTAGCAGATTATGGCTGTTCTCTTTATATTCACATTAGCTGTCGTTCATTGATAAGTTCCAGTAGAAGTTGAAGACTGCACTGTTCAGGGAATTAAATCGTCTTTTTCCTCACAAGCCCTTGTCCAAAGTTTCAAATACTGCTATATGAATTCATAAGAATCTAACTATTCTCCTCCAGATGCTCCAAAGCTTCCCTCTGTGTCAGTGAGTCCCTCTGCTGAGATAGAGGAGGGCAGCTCAGTGACTCTGACCTGTAGCAGTGATGCTAACCCAGCAGCTACATACACCTGGTACAAGGCGAACCAAACAGTGTTTCAGGGACCAGAAGGAAGATACAATTTCACCTCCATCAGCTCTGAGGACAGAGGGATCTACTACTGCAAGTCTGAGAATCAATATGGAGAGAACAAGTCATCTCCTCTATCAGTAGATGTCCAGTGTGAGTACAAAACATAAGCTAATCAGACATTCCTGTGACCCATACACAAACGATGTTAGCCTTGTAGCTCAGTTTTCCTGAAAAATCTATTGAAAATCACCAGAGAAATGAGAATGTAATGTTAGTGTCTTGATAGATAGATAGGTAGGTAGGTAGGTACTTTATTGATCCCAAATTGGGAAATTATTTTGTCACAGTAGCAGCAGTGTGTTCATGCATTAAAAAACCTTAAAGGTGGGGAAGGTACGTTTCAGAAACCGGCTCGAGTGCACTAAAATGTGAAAGTACACAGCCAAAAAGAATCCGCCCCTTCCTTTAGACTTCCTTACAGAGCACCTCCTCCGCGAGAGCAGGCTGCAGTAACGTTACATATCAGNGAAAGTGGCCGCCTGTTGCTGGCGAGTCACTGAAGTACTGCTGCAATGCACGCCCAATGACGGCACGCCCAATGAGGGCACGAGATACATTTGTGCGAGCACGAGATGGAAGGCTGAGAGACAGGGCGGCAATCCAATCAGCAATCCAATTGTAGTTTTTACAGTATTACGGGTTCCACAGATGACCTTTTTGTATGGATTTTTTGTCAAAGCACTTCAGATATTCATTGCTATCGGGATGTTAAGAGCATTCCATGGAATATAACAAAAAGTGTATCTCGAGCCGGTTTCTGAAACTTACCTACCCCACCTTTAAAGGTGGAAAAAAGGTATAAACTTAATTAAATACAATTAAAAACAATAAACAGCATCAGTATATATACAAATATACAGTAGCAAGGACTCAATACTTTAGTGTATATAAATGTTCTAGATAAGTTAAACAAAAATATATAACCTTAGTCCAAAATGAGCGTTGTTTGCAAAGTAATGTTAACATTTAAAACATACTTCACCATCTGATCCGGGTCTCTCTGAATCTGCAGATGCTCCAAAGCTCCCCTCTGTGTCAGTGAGTCCCTCTGCTGAGATAGAGGAGGGCAGTTCAGTGACTCTGACCTGTAGCAGTGATGCTAACCCAGCAGCTAACTACACCTGGTACAAGGAGGATGAAGACTCTCCAAAAGCTTCAGGACAGATCTACAACATCACGGTCGTCAGAGCTGAACACAGTGGGAGTTATTACTGTGGAGCCCAGAACAAATTAGGACGTCAAAACTCCTCCTTACTTATACTTTTTTGGAAAGGTAAGATATTTGAATATATCTATATAGGCTACACCTCTTTACTACAGATGTATCTGTGACAGGTGGTTGCAGAAACCCCTCTCACATCCTTTCCCTTAAACCAGGGGTGTCTAAACTACGGCCCGGGGGCCAAATGCGGCCCGCAGACCATTTTAAAACGGCCCTCAGCTAATTGTAAAAGTATAATGTAATACGGCCCCCAAATGAAACTTGTGCTTGTCTAATATTATACTTCTTAAATATGTATCTTAATTAACAAATATCTTACACAGTAGTATTCATGTGTTAATAAGACCACTTTTCAAATAAATTCAGTCAATACAAATTGGTAACATTTTCTAACATATCTTAGTTGATCAAAAAGGCCCAATAACTTATTTACCAAACAAGCTTGAAATATATTTCCTCTTATTATAAGCAAACTGAGGAATGAGCTACCAACAAAATAAATGAAACCCTCTGGAGAGCTGTGATATAGGCTGTTACGTATAATTGACCTACATTTGATGAATTTTGCTGACTTATAACTTAACTTATGAGGCAATATACCTCGTCTCTAGTGAGTGGCCCAGCCCTTCGTATATTTTTCTGTATGTGGCCCTCGGTGAGAAAAAAGTTTAGACACCCCTGCCTAAACCTGTAGTGCCATTTATGAACCTAGACTGTTTTTATGTGAAGCGTTGAATGTTGAAGCTATTAACCAAATAAATGTGTCTGCCTACGCTCAAATTAAATGCAAACAGATTCAACTTAGCTTGCTCAAAGTGGCAAAAAGATACATGTGAAAAAACACAATCATGACCCGTCTAGTGAAGATAATTCGCAGACCTTGTTGCGAGCATGTTCGTTTAGGAACTACTTTCTTGTTATCATATTTCCGTGAAGAGGAAGAGTACATCTACAAACCTAGATAACATTACAGCTCAGTCGAAGAGGAAGCAACTCATTTTGAACTCTCATTCATACCACCAACAGCAGGAGCGTCATCCATGTGTAGATGCACGCTTCTTTTTCTGCAGTGACTCGGTTGGTGGATGTAGAAAGACAAATATACTCTCATCAAAGTCTACCGAGGTGTCTTTCTTCTGCGGAGAGACATTGATGTTGATTTTTTCAAATGTTGGTTTTGCTGCTTTGAGCATCACAAGCTTTTAGTAAAGGCCGACTTCCCTACGGTAGATATTTACAACACTCTGCAAAAGGCACCTAACAACTGTCTATTCAATCAAAGTAAAATAATGTCCTGGGAAAAACCATCCATCCATCCATCCATCTTCTCCCGCTTATCCGTGGTCGGGTCGCGGAGGTAGCAGTTCCAGCAGAGAGCCCCAAACTTTCTTTTCCCTGGCCACATCAACCAGCTCTGACTGGGGGATCCCAAGGCGCTCCCAGGCCAGCGAAGAGATATAATCCCTCCATCTGGTTCTAGGTCTACCCCTTGGTCTCTTCCCAGCTGGACGTGCCTGGAACACCTCCCTAGGGAGGCGCCCAGGTGGCATCCTAACTAGGTGCCCGAACCACCTCAACTGGCTCCTTTCGACGCGAAGGAGGAGCGGTTCAACTCCGAGTCCCTCCCGGATGACCGAACTTCTCACCTTATCCCTAAGGGAGACACCAGCCACCCTGCGGAGAAAACCCATCTCGGCCGCTTGTACCCGCGATCTCGTTCTTTCGGTCATGACCCATCCTTCATGACCATAGGTGAGGGTAGGAACGAAAATGGCGCGGTAGACAGAGAGCTTTGCCTTCTGGCTCAGCTCCCTTTTCGTCACAACGGTGCGGTAAAGAGAGACTGCAGTACCGCTCCCGCTGCTCCGGAAAAACCAATGTAAATTAATTTCTTTGCAACACTTTTAGACAATCTTGGTGCAATGTAATGAGTTGTAAATACTCAAACGTCTTGTAATTTCCTTCACTATTTTCAGAATTTGAATATTCAGGTGCATGGAAATCAGCAGCTACAGGAACAATCACTATTGTCCTCCTGGCTATCATCCTCATCGCTGTCTTCCTATGGTTTAAGTAAGCAATTTTCTCTCACTATGATTGTGGTCTCTAATGCAGTTGTAGTTAATTAATTTGATTACTCATCCTATTATCCAGGAGAAATAAGTCTAATGGTGGAGAGAAGCCCGACAACAATGCACAGGTGAGAAAACACACACTTTCTGTACCTCTTATGGCTTATCAATAATAACCCACCCTCTCAGTACTGGGGTTCATTTCATAAAAGATGATTAGTAGTTCAAAGTTATTTCAGTTAAATAATGTTACCCACTCACTACTTAAATATTTTCGGGTCGAGATTTTGAGCAGCGGTGACCCACATTTAATTGTGGTTCATTGAATTGAATATACTAAGACTAATACTTAAACTAATACTAATACTAGTAATAATAGAAAAGTACCAATAGAAAAAAAAAAGTGATAATGAATATGATTTAGAATAACAGTTCTTAAAAATACTGCAATATTTATGGGGGTTCTTAAGAAAAAAATCATAGTAAAATATATATTTCCCCAAAACTAATAAAGCACTTACATGTAAAGCAGGCTGGCAAAAGTTTTAATGTACATGTACTTTTAAATTGTTCAATATATTAAAACTGTGTTCTGTGGATTATAATTTGGTTTCTGGAGAGGTTTATTAACCCTTTCAGCATCACAATCATAATCACAGTCAACTCCATTGCTTTGACTGAATTATGAATGTGCAGACCGTCAAGGCTAAGATAATTGACTTTAAAATGTCTCACTTTTTTGGATTCATTGAACTGAGTTGTGGTTTCTTCTCTGGGAGGCATGTGGTGCAGTGGGTTGTGCGTTGGTGTTGGGATCAGGGGGTCACAGGTTCAAACCCCACTGCAGTCAGCATGTCGTTGTGTCCCTGAGAAACTTCACCCCAAATTGCTCCTGTGGGGATTGTCCACAGTATTGAGTATGTGAGTCGCTTTGGATAAAAGTGTCTAACAAGTGACATGTAATGTTCATATACAGTAGGATAAACAAAAAGCCCCCACTTTCAGCTTACCTTCTGGAAAATAAAACATGTTTTAATAAATTAAATTACATGATTTTTGCTCCAGATTTCACTTCACAGCGGTTCGCAAACACCATTTCAAGGCGGACCAGAGACTTAGGTAGAAATAGTAAAGAATTCAAGAACAACCTTAATCCCACCGTGAATCCAACAGGTTGTGCTTTTTATGTGCCGCAATTATGAGTCAATGTTGCTTATGTGCTGACATTGTGCTCATGACTTTTCTGTGCTTATGTGCTCTTGAACGTTTTCTTTCAATGACATCAACCTGCCAGGGACATTTATCTCAAATAACAGTTACTTACATAAGTGAAAAATACTGTTCTTTGTGTGTATCAAGTAAGTTAATGGCCAAACCATGAGACAATTATGGTGAAAATACCTTTTTTATTGATGCAAAATGAGGATCTTACAGACAGAAATTGTGACCTTGAAACACCTGAACAGATAAACTGGCACATGCTACCCTCTTGTGGTGAAATACTATAGAGCAAAGCAAATATTAACATACATTAGATGACATATATTTAAGCATGATTAATGACAACGTAAGGTTATTCTGTGCAACAGCAATAAAAACTGCATTTTTGCTTGCGGTCTGTTTTTTCCCGTCAGCTAAACATGGGCCCGGTGCATGGCGTCCCTTCAGATACAGCACAACCAGCAGAAGAGCAGCATGACCTTCACTACTCCAGCATCCGCTTCCCTCAGAACCAGGAAGAAGCTCTGTACTCTAACATCGGGAGAGTGCAACCCCACAGACAAACAGAGGAAGATGAGGATATGAATGAGTATACTGTTGTCAAAACTCCAGGGTGAGCATCTTCATTTCATTTCATTTTTGCCGTTCATGGTATCCAAAACTTAATGTATAATAATTGTTAACAAAACATGTCTCTGTAAACACACCATTGACCGAAAAGGAGCAGGAATAAGAAAATAATGTTATATGACCTGCCCCTTTCTAAAAAAAAAAAAAAAAATAGATGGTCTGTCCTTCATCACACCCAAACGTAGTCACAGCCAAACATGACAGTATCTTAGGATAATAAGAGATAGACAAAAAATACTTATTTCCCACTTGACAATTAACGGAAAGAAACAAAAGAAAAAAATCTCTACATGATTAAGGATATACACATTTGGTTTGACATTATTGTTTTATTTTTCTCTTCACAGCCTGAGACGTCAAGAAGATGCGGAGGATTTATTTGCACTGTACAGCACTGTCAATAAATGAAAATGGATCTGTCACCAGTTATTTATTGAACTGAGTTAAAAATATATATATATATCAGGAATCAGTCTAATTGTAGCATTTGTGCACCCATAAAAAATATGAATTGTAAATATCTGTTTGCTTGGTTATAGTTTCTGCAAGGATTTCTTGAACCAAATTACAGAAAAATAAAAATCCTGTCCCTGTGGATATTTATTTTTCCACCTCCATACACAGTAGGGTTAGTTAACCGTATTTTTTATTTGGGTAAACTCTTCCTGTCACTTACCGTAATACTATATCAGCATTTTACAGTGCAAACAAAAGTCAATAAAATACAAATACGTTCATAAATGTGTGTTATATTTCTCAGTAGTGGGTTTATTTTACTGTATTCAATGTATGCACATTAATATCTTAACTAATCTTAATTAATCTTTACATTGCCATGTAAAGTAATTTAGTACATTGGCAAGTACTGTACAGTACTTAAGTACAATCTTGAGGGGCTTGTACTGTCATGATATTTTGTTTTGTCTGTTTAGTCATGGTTTTATTTTAAAGTTCTGTTCTCCCTGTCTCTGGTCTTCCTTCCTCTGTCTGATTTTCTCATTGTGCTCACATGTTGTGTTTGTGCCTCCCCTGCCCAGCGGTGTATTCTCCTATGATTACCCTCTTGTGTATTTAGTCTTGCTTGCCCTTGTGTCCCTTGTCAATATATTGTTGTTTGACAGTGGTTTGGTTCCTGTTCCTGGTGTTCTGGATTTCTGGATTTCCCTGTTCTGCCCTCCTATGGTCCTGGTTTGTTTGTTTGTTACTTTCTCATTTGTTCCCCCTTGCCTGCTCCAGTTGTTTTTGTATTGTAACAGCTTTTATTTAATTAAAAGATCTTAATTTACATCCCCAAACCTGCCTCCTTATTTATACTGCTTTTGGGTCCGCAATATTGCCAAAATCGGACATGTACTTTATTCTGAAAAAAACGGAAGTTCACACTAACTATTAACTTAACACTTTTATTCTGAAAATTCTTCATTTCTGGTTAGCATTAGCATGTGGCTAACGTTTTGAAAACCGTGAATTGAAGGTGAAATGTGATGTTGCACACTAAACACACTGGGATTAACACTCATTTATTGACGCTGAAATAACGTCAGGGAATGTTTAAATAACCACAGACATCAGAATTATATATATATTAATAATATAAGATATAATATGTTACTTTTGTGACTGGGTAAGTACACAACTAGGGAGTCGGGACGTCACGTGCCTCAAAGGTTGAGAAGGAGGGGCGTCCCGTCACGTGTCTCAAAGGTTGAGAAGGAAGGGCGATCTTGAGGTTGAGAAGGAGGGGCGTCGAGGTACTGCGCACTGCAGTGAGGGGTAATACTTTGTTTTTGTGTAGCTAACCCCCGCCACCAAGTGTTCAAAAATAATATTCATATAATATAAATTAAAAAAACTGACATGCCAACAACACCCATAAAATGGCTCCTGCACTTAAATGCATCACTAATTATAAATATAAAAAATATCTAATATGTATTATTCTGTAATGTGCCAATTTGCATAAACACTACTTCTACTTTTGGTACTTTAAGTATATTTTGATGCCAATCATTTTGTACTTTAACTTGAGTAACATTTTTAATGCAGGACTTTTACTTGTAACAGAGTATTCCTACACTCTGGTACTTCTACTTTTATTTCTACTCACTTTCTGAGTAATTTTTCCACCTCAAAATGTAAAAATAACACACAAGTAAAAAGTGTAAGGTAAAGAGACAGGACCAAATACCACATAAAAAAGTAGAATAAAAAGTGTAGACATCTGTATATTTTTGTTGCGACGCACAAATTTCCGAGCTTCCCTGAACTACCCAGTGCGATTATTTCGCTATTTTTAAAAAAACACTTTTTTACTGTCCAGACACTGCGTATGGTAGGAGACGAATATGCACACATGCAGCTAATAAAACGTTAGCTGTCCATATCAGTACTTTTAACTGTTATTTTTACTGTAGTGAGAGGAACTGTGTGCAGGTGAGTGTTTGCGCCTGAGAGGATGAACGAATGTGCACCTTTGCCCGAACGGGGGGCTGGGGGGATTGGGGTGGTCGTTGGGTAAATGCTAAGCTAAGCTATCTGCACTTAGCATTGGAGACCACGCAGCGCGGCAGCAGGCCTACTGGAGAACAGAAGAACTGAGGTAAGCCACGTTTTTTTTCTTCATACTTTATTACTTTGAAATCGTTTGCCAATACATTTTATTTTTTCAGAGCTGCAATGATTAGCTTAATTCGTATTGGGTGAATCTTTTGAGAATAGTCTAAGGCTAATCTTTTATTCAAACATAGCAGAAAATGCAGTTTTTTTGCAATATGGAAATGTTATCTTTACATTACATAAAAGGGATTTGCCTTTTTAAGCTGTGGTGTACATCTTTCACACTTTTCTCATACTTAATAGCAAAATAATTCATTCAGATGAAACAAATATGCAGATTAAAATGCAAAGTGTAGTTTTGAGCAACTTGCTCCAAAGAAATATGAGGCAGTGTTTTACTTCTACCAATGGGTTCATTCAATTTAAACTACTATGTTTTTTTAATAAGTTATTAAATAAAAACAGCCTATTATTGCCTAATCACTTATTAAATAGAACTTGTGCTACAGTAGGTCATTCTTAAATGTAGTTAGTAGTATGGCTTGTATTTCTGCCTACTTTGAATTAAATAATATTATTGAAGTGTATTCCTAATATTGTGTATTGTACTATATAGTTAGATTTTTCTCTCTTCTCGTGTTGATATATTACTGTGTACTTTTTACTGATAGTTTATTGTCCTCCACATGCCCTATGTGGAGTATTAATACAAATGGATCTGCAGATCTAAAAACATAACAAAAAATAAGCTCCTTTTTTAGAAGTTTTAAATAGTTTGGATGTGCCCAGGGCTATTATATTCTACACACCCAAATACTCTTATAAAATAGTTTGCGGCACTAAACTCGTAGTATTGCCTCGTGTCTGCTGGAAGGGTAAGTAAGCAATTATTTATAATGCCTTTTGTGTTTTTACGGTGATTTAACAGTGGTGTCTTGTAAGCTAGTTGTTGCGCTACTAAGGATCCAAACATAACATGAGTAAAATGTATTGTTTGGTTATTGTAAATATAGCCTTTAAAGGATTGTTATGACCTTAAGCTTTAGAACTGTCTATAGAATATGCATTTAGTTAAAGAAGAGAAACATGGAGGGGACATAATGTAATTTTCTGATGTAGTTGTGGTTTTTTAATGCTGCTGCAAGATAGTGGTAAAGAGCCACATTTGCTTAGTAGAGACTAGTACGTCTAGTACATTTCTGTCACCTACTGATGGGTACATTGTAGTTCAGCATAAATCTGTTGCTCGAAATTAAAAAAGAGTATTGAAATGTATTCCTTATATGGTGTATTGTACTATTTTAGCTATAGTATTCTCTCTTCTAGAGTCAATATTTTTACTGTGTATTCCTCACTCCTGATTCATTTATTTTTGCCTGTCTGTTGGTAAGTAGGCACGACTGTTGCCTACCAGCAACAGTAATGCCTTCTGACCAATACTAGTTTGTATTACCAGTCCTGGCACTCAATATTTCTGCAGTACTACCGCAACCCCCCCAAGGAACAAAGTCATGATGGTCCTTCGGTAAAGACAACTAGGAAAGGTAAGTGTATTTTTATTGCACATTATATTGCACAAGGGAACTCAAAGAGCTTTATCAAAACACATTGAAAGCATTAAGATATAGTGCAACAAACACATTGTAAAGTAACTTGACTTACAGTTATTCAATTCCACAAGAGGACTTGCATATGTCACCTTAAAGTCAACATCTCTTGGGTTTGGTCTATAAAAACATGACAAAGAAGCTAGTACTTAAATGTTTTGCACTTTTGTTCTATAACTTTATTTAAATTAATCTAGAAAAAAGAATCTGTAGATTAAACAAACAAAGGAAATCGTCCCGCACACACTCACGTTAAAAAGAAAAGATGGCGTCTTTGCGCATTCAATCTTGCTACAGAGCGTAAGAATGGCCTGCTCTACTATTTTAAAACGGAATTGCAGTTAAAACTGCAATTCCGTTTTAAAATAGTAGAGCAGGCCATTCTTACGCTCTGTAGCAAGATTGAATGCGCAAAGACGCCATCTTTTCTTTTTAACGTGAGTGTGNTGCATTTGTGTAGTATTATTGGAAAGAAAAATAGTATGCGAATTCGAAATATAATGAACAAATACTGTTTAAAAAAACTAAATGTAAATAGAAAACGCTGTATATTCAATGTTATGCTGGCAACCACTCAAAGTAACAAAAATAAATAAAGACTGTTGAATGTTTAATCTTGTGAAGCAATCCTGTAGTCCGGATTTAAAAAAAAATCTAAAGTTAACCTGGTTAATAAACATTTTACTGTAATAGAAATCACAGACATTTTAATCAAAATGCAAACGCCTGCCGTGGTTTAGGATTGTGTTGACCCCGGGCGGTACAATTGCCAGTCTGGATCCTCTCCAGAGTCCTGACCTCTGGTCCTGAGAGATCAATGAGGGTTTTAGTGGCTATAAAAGTGCAGAAGAAGTAAATATAGTGAACAATGTTCTGTGTGAGGATCTGCTCACTTGGGGCACACTCGCTGAACCTGAACCGCAGCGTACTCCGGACTTTTCCTGGTTGCCCTCCGTGTGTGAGGGCTTGAGCGCTCTCATGTTGGAGTAATGAGGGTTCTTCCCGGTTGTTGGAGAAGTGAACGCTCGGCATAACTTGAAGGTCTCCTCCTGCTGCTCGGGCTGATCAGGTCACACGTGCCAGGGAGAAACAAATGAAATCACGCCATTTTGACATAATAGGTATTTTCATTTACAGAGGAATGGACCAGGACAGAAAAGGGCCAAAGCGACAGCAGCTGTGGAATGATGGGAACATATCCCTCTGCCTGTCCATCAACTTTGATGCTTTATGACAGAAAGATTAAAGGATAAAAGATAGGAAACACTCTGGATGAACTGAAATGTACTCACTCTAAGAGGAGAATCAAAGAGATTGGTGATAAAATAACTTTTTATAGAAGGATGTAAAAAGAGCCGCAAGAGGTCCTTCTATGTCAGATCAGTTTCTATAAGAACTTAAAGACCACCATCATTATAAATTGAGCGTAATATGTTTTATTTTGTACTAGATTAATTACATAAGCATCTATTCTCACCTCCTCCCTGTTGTCCGCTCTCTCTTCAGGCTCAGACGAGTCTCTAGAAGCCCTCTTTCTTCTGGTTAGGAGAGTTTATAAAGAAACAGATCAAATGTTGGCACCATACGAACAGACTTTTAATGATTTAACAAACAATGATTAAGATGATCAGATCTGCTCACCTGATCCACAGGAAGACAGAGAGAGAAATGACAGCCAGGAGAACAACAGAGATTGTTACAGCAGCTGGTAGCTTCCATGATCCTGAGAAACAGAGATCAACAGAGAAAAGACATGCAGCGGTGTTTCTTTAATGGGTCTACAAGTACTCCTAGGGGTACTGTGGAGTACTGCGGGGGGCACATGGGATTTTTACAAATATATAAAGTATAAGGAATAACGGTGGCGGTCTTCAGGTGCTCCTCCAGCACAGAGTCCAGGGAGGAACCAAAATCCACCAATCTCCTGAAAATGCCAGGGTTGACTGAAAAGTCTCGTAATGCCCACGCAAAGCCAACTCAAAAGCACAAAACGTCATTATTTCTGATTAAATATGCCTGTTTTTATCTACCTCCTCATTGTGTTTCCTCACCGCAATCCTGTGGCCGTCGTCCAGCTGTTAGCAGTTGCTTACTTGGGGCGGTAAAATAATCGCCCCTCTAT